CATGTATATATGTATATTGTAATATATATATATATATATATATATATATATATATATGTATCATTGTATTGTTGACGTGTTATTCTAAACACGTTATTTGCGATAAATATCATCACATGCCTCGGTAGTCGAAAGGATAAGATGCCTGCCCGGTAAGCAGGAGATCCAGGTTCGATTCCTGGCTGAGGTGGTATTTTTTCGCAAAATAATTGCGAGTTTTCACGACTGGTTCGTGGTCGGGCCCCGCCGTGACGCACACCCTCCCTTCTTATTTGGGTCTATAACAATATGCAATTTAATGTTTGTTTAAAAAAATGTTTCATAAAAAATTTCTTTATCTTAATTATTTTACATTATTAAAACTGTGTTAAGTTTATCAAATAAAAATTAATGAATCATTGTTATAAAAAGTGTAAGTTTTGTTAAAATTTTCAATTTTTTAATCCATCAAAAATAATCTTATATGCTTTTGAAAGGAGCAATCTTTAGTGATTTGAATTTTAAAACATTTCGAACGCAGGGCGAGATATCGTTCGATAAAACGTTGCCTCACAAGTGCGCGATTCGAATTATGACACTACATACAGTCACAGAGTTTTTTCCAACCTATGATCATTGATATAAATATGTATATATACATTTTGTAAACAGTGCATATTTAGCTGAAGAAAATTACGTTGCGCAAGCGTGGATTATAAAGATCTTTTTTTTCACCCCTTCCCCTATTGGCATATTACAAATCATTCAAGATGGCGATCTTTCAAAAACCCATCCTCCGAATCCGCCATGTAACGATCGGAACGGCATTGGAGGTTACGTTTAAACGTGTCGATCAGTTATTGATAAGCGAGACAGAGAAAGTGTGAGAAAGAAAGAGAGAGAATCGAAAGTGGAGATCGAATCCGATTAATCGAAACGGCAAAAAGATAAAGGATCTACGACGAGACAGGTGCGACGAATACGGGACAATGTGATCGCGGTGATCCTTCGTGATCTTTCGCGCGTTGTGGTGCGGGCGCAGCCGGGATCTCGGCGCGAAAATCTCGACGGCTTCGTCCCGTCGCCGCGCGCGCGTTCCGGTTGAGAATCACTGACGTACCCAATTCAGTCCCGATCTCTAACCGAGTTATTATAGGAACAGTAGCGCGCAGGAGGCCCGTTCTCGGAGGATCATCATGCGAGGGTCCGTCTGCAGGCAGCTGTGCTATCGGTAAATCTCTCGCGCGTGAGAATTTCCGAGCTCGGCGACGCTCGAGCGTGAGTCGTGGGTCGTCGGTCGCGGCTAACTGCACGCGGCTGACTTCGCGCTGTTGCAAGGGGCGCACGTCGTAGGTCGTACGTCGATGATCGGAGCTCGATCCGCGGATCGAGATTCCGCCACTTGCCGGCGCGACGCGAAGCGACGCGACGCGGGGTGACGCGACGCGTGGTGCGCTAGGGGTGAAGCGCGCGGCGAGACGGGCCGATGAGACATCGAGACATCGAGAGTGTGTACCCATTGTAACCGAGGACAGTTAAAACCGTTGGTAGCGGCCCCCCTTCATCTCCCCCTCCCCTCCTCTCCCGGCTCCCTTTCCGCATTTAAGCCGTTAAAGCGCGAACCTAACCTAATCCGCCCGATAGCGTCCTTATTGGAGTTTTCGTGGCAGGGTTTCCGTTCGAATTTAAAGGTCCGGCCACGGATCGCGGGGACTGTTATGCCAAGCTGCGGTAAGCGAGGGTGTACACGCGTTCTTCGGCTCTGAGCCTGCGGGTATATCCCCGCGCCATCGACGTCGTCCTCAAACGTTGTGTTATGTCCGCGACGTCGACGAGTGTCAAACTCCGCCACGCGACTTTCGGGATCGGTGCCCCGGTAATTCCATCGAGGAAGTAACAATCGCCTGAGTTCTCTCCAATCCTCCCTCCTTACACTCATCTACTTCTCTCATCACGCGACCCCGGTGTTCCATTGACAGTCGTAAAGTAAAGGATGTTTATATTTTTATACGTGTATAACCGTATGATCGATTGGGACGCTGCTGAATATTCTCTGGTACTGTTTTCGTTAATTGTGGACCTTCTTGTTATTTTATCAGTGTATAAGGAAGTCTCTGAGCGATAAAGAGCAACAAAGTCAGAAATGGATCCCGCGACAGTGATAGCCCTTTGTAAAGAGAATATCCAGCCGTTACGGTACGGAAGAAATGCCATGCAATTGGGAACTGCGTTGAGGGCACAGGAGGACGCGGATGCACAACAGTTATTACTACAGGAAAAGCAGTGAGTGTCCTGAAAACCATTATTCCATATACTCATGTATAGCTGTAATTTTATCTAAGTTAACATGATATACAGTCGAGAAATATATTTTGTAAAATTAGTGGAAACTATTTTTTATTTTTATCCAGAATGTATGAGGATGCGATTAAGACTTATGAAGGAGAAGACCCTTTAGAGAATTGGTACGAATATATTCTTTGGGTAGAACAAAGTTACCCGAAAAATGGACATGAATCTCATATCGGGAAACTCTTGCAACAATGTTTATCAATATTTGAGAAAGATGTAAAATATCATCAAGATCGCAGATATATACGTTTGTGGATTAATTATGTGAGTAATACTTTGGACAAACTCAATTTGCATGACTATATGTATTAATAGAACTTGGTTTTTAGATAAGTATGCAAAAGAATCCTTTGGAATTGTATCAGTTGTTGCATAACAGTGGTATTGGAACTAGGGTGGCAGATATATACAGGGCCTGGGCTTTCGAGTTGGAACAAATTGAGGATGACAAACGCGCGGATGAAGTTTACTTAATGGGACTGTCTGTTCATGCAGAGCCATACGAGGAATTGAGTCATGCTCATCAGTATGCATTGCTGTTTTTTTACTATATTAAAATATTATTTTATAATATTTTTTATATGAAAGTGTATATAATAAAACTTACACAATGTCATCTCTTTTCATAGAAATTTTCAATTTGCTGTCGCGCGCAAAACACTTGGACGTATTGAGGAAAGAAATGATGCTTCTTTGTATGAACAACGTCAAGCTTTCAGTTCATTGAGAGCGATAAGGGCTGGTAAAAGAGTCGGCAATATACGGACAGGCCATCGCGTACGTGATTATTATCCTGGGACTATACCCCAAATCTCAACTTCCATGCAGAATACAAAGTCCAATTCTAAAATACAAATATATCAAGTAAGATACACATGCAAATAATAATTGTGCAATATAATACATTGTATTTTAAAATTAAATTGTAATAAAATATTCCATGATTTAGGATGACATGCCTGGAGAAATGAAAAGTTCAAGCATATTAGATCATGTGCCTATAGAAGATGTACATAAAGAAAACACTATCAAACCTGGACCATGGAATAGTGGAAGCAAGAGAGGGCCATTAATAGCTCCTACTATAAAGGCGGGCTTTAAGAGTAAGAAAGATAATAATCGAATTAAAACAATAATTTATTACAGGAAAATAATGAAGAGTTTTCTTTATTTTTTTTCAGTTCATGAAGATCAGAATGATGATATTAATATGGAAAAAATTAAATTATTCCCAAATCATGTACCTTTTTTGACGGTAGCAAATGTCATGAAGGCTTAAGAGTACCAGTATATGTAGCAGATCCAATAGATCCAAATATTGTACAAAAACCACATTATCCCAAAGAACTAGTTTATGCCGATAACGTTGACCGCAGTATGGAAGAAATTAGAGCACAGCTTTATTGGAAAGGTTACTATGTAAAGAATAATAAAATTTTATAATAATATATATATATATATATATATATATATATATATAATATATAAATATCGAATATTTTTTTCACTAAAAAATTGATTAATAAATATTTATTGAATTTATATGTGGTGAAATCGTACAATAAATATTTTCATAAAATGATTAGACATGTTTTATACTTCGTATACTTTTAATTTCGCTTTTTCAAAATGATGGGATGAAATAGTTACATCACTCTTCTATTTCGCAATTTGAGGTACATTTATATAATTTTTATTGCAACACATTGAGCGAAATTATTTGAACACATCCATGACGAAATCGCGTACGTTTATCGCTCCTCTCAAAGCAGCAGCTGCATCTAACAGCAGCAATTAAACATAATTACGCAAGTGAGCCACTTTTGTTCTATTATCGAAGATAAATTGTCTGGTTGTTATGAACCATTTTTGCTCAGAGCACGATCGATATTTATCGTGGATAGATTAATTGTAATGGATAGCATGAGATAATGGCGAAGAATTTATATCAGTATTCTCGATAAAGGGGAACATAGATCGATGAGCGTGTTTGTAAATTTCGTGTTAGATGTAAAATACATTTTTATTTTATAAAGACAATTTCGGACTAAAATAATGATACATTTTGAATAACAAAAATTAAGTATGTGAAATCATTTTTTATCAGGTTTTAGCGGTTGTTATTAAAAGTTTATATTTTCTTTAGACATTCAAGTCTTCGATATCCTTTTCACTTTTGCGTTTTTTTTTATTTAATCGAAAATTACATAAATTCGTTAAACGTGAAATCAAGAACAACAGATTTATATTTCTAGCAATAGGTTTCTCAATTGGATTTTCCCGCGACCATTCACAGCGATATTTCTCTGCATTTTGTTTTTCCGGTTTACTATCACCAAAGGTTAAATTCCTCGAAACACGGCGCTCTTTTGCAACCTACGATTTCCAAGGGTTGAAAATGGGAGGGAAATTCCGGGACGTTGCGATTTCCAGGGACCGCCTACGACAATCGCTTCATTGTCACACTGTGCCGTGCCGCAAATAATTCGCGAATCACGTTCGATCCGCGCGGCGCGTTATCGCAGGTACGTGTCGCGAATCTTCCAAGAAATGCGGCATTTTCCCGCATGACACACAGAACGGTGCGCGGCAGTTTGCCAAAAACGTGGCAGTTACGATGAACACGCGCGCCTCCTTCGCACTCTCGAATTTTCAGTTGTTGGGCGGAAGGCCACGAGGTCGTACAGTGTTCGTTAAACCACTCGCGAAATATTTGTTCTACGTGAGAAGAGAACAGTTCTATCTGCTCCATTTTCGTTTTATTCTGTGATTCCCGCCACCTTGAATTAGCATCGATACGGAATTAAAAACGGAATCGGTATAATTTTAGTAACCTCGATTTTTTTGTATTCTTGACACAGGAAAGTTTATTTTATAATAAAAGCTTATTTTAATTCTCGAAGATATAAGTTTGCATTATATAAAATTAATTTTGAATTCTTCTTATTAGTATTATAAACAATATTTAATGAATAACGTGATTCTCGTATGTTTATATTAACATTATGGTTTACAAATTATAAAATATAAAATATAAATTATTTTTCAATTAAATAATTATATAATGCAAAATTGTTCTATACATCGTCCGTTTAATTCTACTATCGCCCGAAATCTAAGATTTAATTATGTAAATAATAAAATTTCTTCTCGATGAATAAAGAATAATCTTCTTAAATAAAAATAAATCTTCTTAAATAAATAGTCAATTTCATATTAATTTTATTTGAATGATATATACATCTCATCTGTTTTCAACATTTTATATTGAGATAAATCATTTAGCTATAATTTCGACAACTCAAATAAAATTTTTATCTTCCATTGTTACAGAAATATCAATATTTATTTTAACGATTCATATGGATTTTTTGTGAATCCATTAAAGTTATACCGTTCCCATTTCTGCTTTGAATTTTTTCAATTTTCCATTTTTCTCTTTGTTAGACTACTTTTTATTTGTAAATCTAATTCGAATGTTTGTGTTAAAAGATTCATCGTTTTTCCCGAAACTCGTGAAATTTGAAGGTTTCAGATCGATTATCGGAAATGGTTGGCCGACAGCGGGTTGTCGATCTTTGCTAATGGTCGATCTTGGCTTATGGCTCTGCGGGTATTTCAGATCCAAGGTAAGCCGGCGCGTTCGACACGAGGCTTAAGTCACTTGCTTGAGCTAAAGGCACCCTGCGCTCGTGATGCGCTCACGTAATGCAGGTGGTATATCGGAGACACGGCGCGCCGTTAATATACGGATTGACGTAACGGCGCGACCGGAGGCTTTAAACGAATTAAAGCCGGCCGTCGCCGACGACGAGGGCGAATAAGCACGACCGGACGACGAGTGCGTTGCTGGCGTGCGTTTCGTTTTCATCGCTTCGCTCTTTTCTGGTTCCGGTTGCCTCGTAACGACAAATCATAGCAATTTGCTGCTCGTCGGAGTAGCTTCTTCCGAAGGAGTTACACGCGAAAGGGAAAGTTGTCTCAGGAATGTTTTCGATAGTTTTCGACATGTAGACATATCGGAGGAGTTCTGAGATCAAGTGGAACAAAAATACGGAAAATTTTCGAAAGAGATTATTATCTTTTCGTTCCGGAAGAGAGATTGTCTGTCTGTTCCAAAATATGATATGAGAATATATATTTCATGTTGATTACTATAGTTAAACGTCACGACGTATCTCTAATTTCACGACGTGATGGAATATGTTAAAAGTGCGTAGGAACTTTAATTCAAATTTGAATTGCTAAGTTACTTGAGTTAATTTAATGTTGCATATTAAAAAAGCATTAAAAATTCATTTGAAAAGTAAGTAATTTTCTTGGAAAAATATCAATGTCAATTTTATTCAACAGTACCTGTTATGAACAATAAAAATTAGAGATACTAGAATATCTCACATTCCGCACTACTAAAAATAAAACGAGTGAGGTTTTTTTATAATTACTTCTACGCTCCCTGGATTTCTCAATCGTCGCGGATGGCTTTCACTTTTGCGATTGACGCGGTAATCGCAGCCCACTTCAATCATTCGCATAAATAATGACTAATCGACTGCGACTGTGAAATTTCAGAAAGCGAGCTAGGCCTGCGTCGCAGCGGTTCCCTGAGGATCTCCCGAGACGATCCCGACATCGCCCTCGTGCGAGAACGAGCTCGTCTTACGAGCACAAGATCATCGCCATCGTCGACCTTGTCGTTGTCAACGACATCCACGTCATCCTCGGCCGCATCTTCGGAGAAATGCGCTGTCGACGGCGAAAACAGCAGATCGTCCCGGTTCGCCAGGCGATACGCACCTGCCGCTACGAGTGACGCACCTGCGCCGGAGTATCTCGCTAGGAGCCTCCTGCAACTCGGATGTCCTGCCGTGTCGATGCCCACGTAAGTCACAGTCATGTTTCCGGCACTTTCCATCCTTTCTCCTCGTGCCAGGGAGATCGAAGCCGCGCGGATATAATCTCGTCGCGTTCCGTTTCCCGCGCCAGAGGCGCGGGGAAACAGACTCCTCCATATCGGTTATCTCGTTTCCGGCGTCACGGTTTCCTGATGGTTAAATGTAAAAGTGATTTTCTCGTACGCGCGATGAACGCGTCCGGATTCATCGGAATTGTCATCGGTCCCGGTCTCCGCGAGACGTGAGCCGACGTCGTGATTACTTACGCGGTCAAGGCGACAGCGCAAGGAGGATCGCATCGACGGAACGCGATGTTGGGCGGACCGGCTCGAGGGTTGGTCCTGATTGCGCAACCTAGGTATGACGTAACACGGGAGACGTGAGAAAAAAAATCCGGACCGTGTTCGGGCCACGTTTCCGCCCACGTTTAACCGGGAATAAGGCGAGCAGAATGGCCTGATTATCTTTCTCTCTCTCTCTCCCTCTTTCTCTCTCTCTTTCTCTCTTTCTCTTTCCCGTGACATTCTAACGTATTCGTTGGAAATAATCGTCCTTTGATAAAGTGTCGTTCACACAGGATTTGCGACATTCGAAAGGTCATTGTGTCACCGTAGTAGGATAAAAATTTGTACAATGCGACAGTAATGCACTGACAGTAACGGCGCTTGATTGTTGTGTGAACGGCACTTCAAGCTACCCCTCACAACGAACGCTTCGTGTTCCTGCCTCGGTCGACCCTCCTTTGTCGGGTCGCAACGATGTCGGCGGACTTCCGCGTTCGCGCGTTTGGGAACCAACCAGCGGAGAAGAGCGAGTTGCGAACGGCCCCTTCTTTAACGAGGAAGTCATTTGCGCGTCGCGAGAGTCTCATGAGGCAATTAAATACGCCTGCGGCGCGGTGTGATATGCACATGTCGGTACTCGTTGCAAAATAAGGTTTGTTCTTTGTAGCTCGCTACATCTCGTGTAGCTAAAATGAAATAGATCTATATTTGAAGTTTGGCGAAAGCGAGATGGAAAGTTTTCAATGCAGCAACAAAGAACAGATCTGTAGAGACGATGAGGAGATAAGGAGATAAGAGAGACGGCGATCGGTGCGATCGATGTAACAGCGACGTTTATCACACATACACATCCACACACGTACACATTTCTTTAATATTGAAAAAAAAATTCAACGGAGCTGTATCAATTTCTGGAAATTTATTCGGAAAACCGGATGTTAAAGTAAGGTTCTCAACATGCTATGGACTACATAACAGCGATACATCTGTAGAATTATCTGTAGGAAAAATATACCAACGTATACATAATAAAAAAACAGATGGGCTATAGAAAATATTGACGTTATGAAGAGCGCCATCGGCAT